GTATATGGAAAGAGGTGTGATATTTTAGTCACCCGAATTTCTAAGAATAATGGCCCCAGGAAAATTGGATTTCATGCATATTTATTATCCTCTACAGAGTAGGCACCAACGATTACCCCAGCACCCAGGGCTGAAGCCACCAGGACACACCAGTAAGTACCAGCTGCCCAGCAGTACACGTTACCATGACTCCTAAAATAGTCTCTGTTGGCCTGAATTTCCTGGATTTTCTATAATGATCTTACATTACTTTTATACTTAAAGAGGTAATAAGGTTTAAGCGAATGCAAAAGCAAACAAAATTTCTTGACTTCCTTTTTATATGAAAGGGTTGATAAAGTAATTACGAATTACTTTTCATAGAAACAATTCTGCACTCGAGCTTTTCAAGCTATTAACACCTGCACTCCATTTAACCTGGAGAGGCATTTAGACAATGTAATTTCTAATTTACTAGTCATGTGCCACATAATGACATTTTGGTCAGTGACAGCATATACAACAATGGTCCCATGAGATCACTGAACAGCCTACGTATATAGGAGGTTGTCCCACGTAATTTAGGCACACACATGCTATGACACTCGCACAATGACAACACATTTCCCAGAACATTTCCCATGGTTAAGCAGCACGTGATAGTACTTGAATTTATTTTTTTACATGTTTTCAGTTTTTGGTATAAACAAGTCTGCAAAATAATCAGAAAAACTAGCATTGCTTAATTCTTCCCGACTCCCTGCCAAGAAATGGTCAGAAAAGTAAATTACCAAAAGGAGCTGAGAGGAAGGGGAGGGCAACACAAACCCAAATTCATAGAATATGAGTTTTCACGTCTCTTTAGTTTTATTTCTTCTCATTCTATTCTGAAACAATGTACTGTCTACATTTAATTTTTGAATATTATACTAAGACTAAATCTCTCAAGGCAAGCTTGAACCTCCCTTCGTTTAGTTTTCTAGATATACTCTATTTTCCTTTTTTTTAATTTGCAAGAGGGCATATGTACTCACTGGAGACAGGAAGAGAAAGAGAGAAAGGGAGGGAGAGGGAATGGAGGGTGGTGGTGGGGGGGAGAGACAGAGAAAGTACCCCCACCCCATGGAGCAGAGCCACACTGCAATCGTTTCTCCTCCACCTCTCCTTCCTTTCAAAGCCTTGGGTAGACATGCACACATGCCTAGCGTGTTTTCTCAAGCCACAGGGGCTGGGTTCAAATAACAGTCAGCCACGTGGAATCCAGCTCCCTGTGAACAGGACTCACCTGCTGCACTACTAGCCAGCCTGTGTTTTTGTTTTTTGTTTTGTTTTTGTGTGTGTGTGTGCATTAACAGACTTCAATCCAAAGTAGAAGTAAATATTCCATTTAAACCATAAGCATCTTCTTGTTCTAGTGCAATTTTCAAACAAGATGTTGAGGGACCAGCAGATAGTGTAATGGCTACATTGCTGGACTCCCATATAGTTAAGTCCCGAACCCGGTGGCTGTTTGAGTCCCAAACCCGGTGGCTTAAACTTATGGCAGGCATGTGTGCGTGTGTGCCCAAGATCCCAAGAGGAGAATGGAGAAGAAGGGATTGCGGCATGGCCATCCTCCCTGGGGGGTGATTTCTTGCTTCCTGTCTCTGTCTCTCTCTGTCTTTCTAGTGAGCGCACACGCCCTATAGCAAAAACCTCTTTAAAAAAAAATGTTGAAGCAAACTTTATCTTGCTTTTTATAGTCACAGGATTTTTTTCTGATATGCTCTGCCCCACAGCTTTCTGTAGACTTAGGTTTTTATCCCAGCTTCATTCTGCTGCCATCATTTTAAAAATCTTTCTAATTACATCAATTTAAATTCCAGTGATTCATCTTTGTTGCCAAGTCCCTCTTTTGGTTGCCTATTTTTATAAAATGCACATGGATGTAGCACTGCGAAACAAGGAGGCAACACAACTCCACACTTCCTGCCTGAGGGTGAACTGGGCAGCAGGTGCACAGTGACCAATCACGGACAGACTAGGACAGAAGTGACATGACTGCTCACAATCATGATGCACATCTGTTAGCTATGTAGCAATGCGTGAACAAAGGGCTGGCAGAAGAACTGATATTTTGAGCATTACTCACAGGCACTCGATCATGGTAACTGACACGTGTCGGAGACCTGGTGGTATTTAACTGAACTGCAGCAGAAGAAAACTGTGCAGAGAGGACTCCACAGCTTCAACAGAGAGACAAATGGGAGAGAAAGAACGCCGGGACCTCAGAGGTGGGAGGCTACTAAAACACAGGGCCCACAGTGGTACAATGAAGAAGGACGTAAGGTCTGAGAAACTGAACCAGTCAGGGTGTCCATGGCTTGTTATTCATGAACCTTACAAAATCAGAAAGAAGACGAGATTAGGTTTTCTATTTCTCACCAAGATAAGGTACTATCCCCTCAATATAAGTGCTAAATATTTCTTGCAAAAGTACAAGCACAAATGGAGTAGCTGAGAAGAGGCTGAAAAAGGCCCAGAGTAAATTAATTTTCTACAACTGTCCTAACAATCTCGCCATCTAGATTCCTTATCTGAACCTCTCACATGGTTCGTACCTCAACCTACTCCACAACAGTTTCTAGTCTCTTAAAGAAGCGCTCTGTCTTGCACACCTATCTTCACACCCCTTTACTGTGAATGGGGTACAGTGACAAAAAGCACAGGAGAGTAGAGGCAATATGTATGGACTTAGATCCTACCCAGCAGTGTGAACGTGAACAATCTAATTTAATTCCCTAAACCCTTCTTCGCTGTACAACGGGGGCACCTCAAAGGGCTGTGCACATTAAAGAAGAGAGCAAAAGTACTGAGCACT